AAGACAAAGTTTTCCCTGTGGGAGTCCAAAACAAGGACACGTTTGGTGCCCACCTGAGGGTGGGTGAGGAGAACCATCCTCAGGTGAGGGGAAGGATGAGATGCCTATACAGAGATGTGTGGGACTTCAAGCAGGATCCTCATTTTGATGCATTTGCAAGTGGTTCTTTGTTTTATACTTCCTTCTGTTACCCAACTGTCGATAGGTTTTTCCAAAGAAAAATACAAACTCCCAGGCACCCATCCCAACCTCAGTGAATCTGTTTTTCTAAGCCCTCCAGATGGTTCTGAGGTAACTAAACCACTGATCTTATCCAAACTCCCACATGAAACATAAATTCTCAGTCTCTGGAAAGCTTCTGTCCAGCTTATGAGGGAACACTTCCTGCACTGGGAGCCCTCTGTCTCCCCAAGTTCTCCACCCAGCTCTGAAAGTGAAATAGCCTCCTAGTGTACCATGTTCAGTAACATGAAGACCATGGTCACACCCCCACCGAGTTGATTCTTCTCCCGTGAGGACATCCTTGTTTACGACAACTATCCCCTATAACATGTGAATTCAGCCGCCTTCCTCAACCTGGTGCCTGTTCCTAGTGGCATTTCAATTTGTCTCTTCCCCTCTTAAGCTCTGAGTTTAATATTATCCTTTAGTTAACAAAACACAATATATTTTTCTTCTCTGTTTCCTGAGGTAACTAACCTCTACTCATGCTGCCTGAAATCCCTACTGTTTTCCTCTCAGCCTCAAAATAAAGCTTCTGGGATCATGAGGAGACCACATAGAGATCTGGAAACAGTGATCAGCTCTTATTTCATCGTTCAGTTTCAAAGCTCAGGAGATATACTAAGACCTGACATGGAGGCTGATATTACTGGCTGCCACATAGAAGTTTAAGGAAGGGAAAATAAAAACTTCCTCCAAATTGGGAAGGGGTCATATGTTCATTTTCGGTCGCTATGATCACAAACTTAGTGGCTTAAAATAGTACAAGTGTATTACCTCAGAATTTTTAGAGGTCAGAAGTCGGCACGACTAACCCAGGCTCCCTGGTCATTGAGGCTGAAACTGAGGCATCAGCTGAGCTGTGTAGGATCCTCTTTCAAGCTTACTTGGGTGAACAGAACTCAGTTCCTGATGGTTGTTGGGCACACACTACTCATCATAGCTGCTCCATCTATTCTATCCCCAGGCCGTGCACACCCTTCCCCCACCCTCTCCCAGAATTTCACAGGCTTCCAGGCTTCATCTGCTTACTCCCATTCAGCTCAGAAATCACCTCCTCCAGGATGTCTGCCAGTCTCTGCCGCTGGGACACAATAGCATTCCCAGCTGGGGTCCTCTCCCAGCTCCCCCACCTGGCTGTGATCACTTTCTGGATTACAATTGTTCCTGTCCCTTTCCTTTGGCAGACCGGAGCCCCGAGAGGACAGGACGGACAGAGCCTGCTCCTCCTCCTGTTCATGCCCCGGCAGGCCCAAACGCAGGAAGCTTCTCAGAATGGGCCTCTGGGAATATCCTGCAAAAGTGAATGGACATCCGAATAATGAAGACCCTGATGCCGTTCAAAAATCTGTCCCATCACTAAAAACTGAAGCCCTTGGGGGCGTGGGTAGGATAAAGAGGGTGTTCTGTGGGGGGCTCAGGCTTTGGGATGCCACTTTCATACCCTCAAGAGGCTTCCGTGGGTCCCGGAGTTGGGGATGGCCTTTGGAAGCCCTACATTAAGACCAGAAGGCAAGAGCTTATTTTTCAAAGACCTCAGCAAGAGCTAATTGTTGGCGTTATCAACACTGCAGGAGACAACTTGGAAAGGGAGGTGATTCCTGGTGGGGGTTGGAGGGGACAACAGGGGCTGTGCTGCAAACTCAGCAGGAGGTTGTGCCTGGAATAAGGGGTCCAGCAGCCTTGAGGTGCCATCTAGTCCAAGGTCTTCTGCTCTTGACCAGCTCCCATGGCCTGTAACACCCAGAAGCTTCCCACTGCCCCAGGGCCTCCGGAGAGAGCTCAGAGCCTGAACTCAAGTGAACTGAGGGCCTCACGGGTGGATGAGGTTGGTCAGACAAGCCAGTGAACACACTCAGGCCCCACTCTGGCCCCTGAAGCTGAACCCCAGCTCTGCCTCTCAACCAAGGTGTGGCTAGGGAGGCCCTTCCCTCCTTGACCTCAGGGGTCATCACTGCCCAGCACTTGTCGCCTGGGGTGGGGTGGGGGCAGGGAGGAGCCACGGAGACATTGCACGGAAGAGCCTGCCGGGCCCAGGGGCTGCTCCCACCACCATCCCAGCCCTGAGACTCGAGCTCTCTGGTGGGCCCTCCTGCCCACTCTCCGTCCTTCCAGGAGACCCGGGCCCGAGGTACTCACAGCCCCCTCTTTCCTGGGGCCAGCTCCTTTCCATGCATCTAGCTAAACAGACCCGCTCAGTGGATCCAAACTGCCCCGGCCCTGTCAAAGGACCCCTGTGTGAGCCTCAAACGGGGCATTGATAGGGCCCTGCTGCCGGCTGCCCAGCCGATCTGAGCTGGCTTGGCTGACCCGGCCGTGCGACTTCCCCAAACCCAGCTATTTCCTGTTCCTCGCCCTGGCCCTCCCAGCTGCCCGGCCACAGGACACAATCCCACTATACATCTCAGCCTGTCCTCAGCAGGCCAAGCTGGGGAGGGGGGCTCTCCAGGATGCAGAGCGTGGCCCCTGAGTCCCCTCTTGACAAGGAGGCGAGGCTGGAGACCGAGCCAAGCCACTCCTCTTTCGCCCTCTTCCTCCAGTGCACACCTGGTGGGCGTCTCAGGGGCCACTTCTCATGGATGTTCATATGAAGTAAATACTTACACAGAATGGGACCCCAGGCCCCTCAACAGCCTCTACTTGGAGAAGAAGGACAAGCACTTGGTTCGATCCCAGACCCCTGTGTGACCTCGGGAAAGTTATTCGATGTCTCTGGGCCTCAAATGTAAATGGAAGCTTCTCCGCCATCTCTAGAAGAGCCTCACTTTACCAGCTGCCTGATAAAAAACAGACAGAATCCGGCCCTCCCTGGTGGTGCAGCGGGTTAAAGCACTGCACTGAGAAGCTAAAGCCACTTCTGCATGAGTTCAATTCCCGCCTGCCCCGGAGGTGACCACAAGGCGTGGCAGACCTCTCCTGACCCGCCCGCTGCTCCCCTCAGCAG